CGTCTGATGCGTGAACTCCGTCGTGCAAGGAAAACCCGACGTAAAGCATCCACCTTATCGGGCCGCTAAAAAAAATTAATACATAAATCAGTAAATAAACAGACATGATATTAAACAAAGACAAATATGTTTCAAACTAGCATTGTATTCACCCAAGTCATTATTCTATCATAGTTCACAAAATGCTCAGATAACATTCCAGAAGTAAGCACTTATATAAACATTTAAAAGGACAACATATATAAACATTCCAGAAGAAGAATAGTTTACTTTCGCAACACGAAACTTAAAATCGCAACGCGAAAATGACTATCGCAACGCGGAAATAGCTATCGCAATGCGAAATGAAAATTGCAACGACAAAATCGCAATGCGAAATGAAAATTGCAACGACAAAATCGCAATGCGAAATGAAATCGCAACGACAAAATCGCAACGCGAAACACAAATCGCATTGCGATTTTCATTTCGCGATGCGATTTTGTCGTTGCGATTTCATTTCGCATTGCGATTTTGTCGTTGCGATTTTCATTTCGCATTGCGATAGCCATTTCCGCGTTGCGATAGTCATTTTCGTGTTGCGAAAGTAAATTATTCTTCTTCTGCAAATTGAAACTTGAATGGATTGCATTACTTCAACCAAAAGACAAAAACAAAACCAAAAACAAATACTAACAAAAACAGTTTAGCAGTATTGGCAGCAACCGAATGAATTACGAGTATGAAAAATATTAAACTTACCTCGTTGCGTAGAGTATGAACCTCATTCCGCAACGATGCTACCATCTCACGTAGAGCGGCTACCTCACCGCGTAATGTAGACACCTCAACACGCCATGCACCATCGTCTTTGCGTAAAGTACCGACCTCCTCATGCAAGGCATTGACCTCATCACGTAACTCCCCTAACTCATCCCGTTGAGGTGGAGGTGGAGAACAGGGAGATAAACGTCGTGGCATCTTTGCCGGTCGCCTATCTTGCGGTGATGGTGGAGAAGAGGCTCGATGATGTGACAAAATAGGTGATGGTTGTCGTTGTGGAGGTGTATAGTCGGGTCGATCAGATGAGGCTCTGGGTGAGGTGATAGCTCTGGGCGAGGTGATGGCTCCCGAAGTGGAGGCTGCTCATCAACCGTTCCATCAAAAAAAAACGCTTACTAGCTTGCCACCAATCAGTGGCAAGCTCAGCTTCCGTGGGTGTCAGCCTCTGTAGAGGAGTGTTGGCTTCCTAACAATATAAAAGCTCAAACAAAGTTAAACGTGTACTAGTAATAACTTGTTTATAAACATATGGTAGTATTTATGTTAACTTACATTATTTATTGTCGTATACCATAGTAAATCTTCCCATTGCAAGGTCCGTTTCCTCTTCCAGGAAATAGCCCTGGGAATATCATTTGAAGTTTTTATTGCATATGTCTTCATGGCGGGAAAGACCTCAAATATCCAAATCTACAAACAATATAATAACAAACATTAGTAATTGTTAAATAATTACTTATAATTTTGGAAACATTATATAAAAATTCTTACCTTAAAGGCCCAAATAAAGCCTGTCAAAGTGTATTTGGAACCATCGCCATGCAAACTTTTTCGATCATCCAAGGCAGACGATAACTTATTCCATGTAGCTTTCCATAAATACGAGCCCCACGGAAACAGGTTCCACGCATTTAGGTCTTCTACCAATTTGATTAGATCATTTGGAATAGGTTGTCTGGCCTCTCTGCCTAAAAAGCCGGCATGCAAAAGAATTAGAAGGCATACTCGGACAACGTTGACGTCATCCATCCGAGTAAAACCATCTTTCTTATTCAACAATCTTGTCAGGTCTTCTACGTGTAGATTCGGCCTCTCCAGCTCAAGAAAAACCCAGGATAGCCATGATGGGTGGGTAATGTGTCTAGTGTACCGACCTACATCATCGTGTCCGAAGCGTAGACCGGTGATTAAGCAAAACTCCTCCCGCCCAAAACACGTATACGCCGGTGGAAAATCAAACCATATCTCTTCATCACGACGTTGTATAGTCTCTGGTAGATCGCTAGTCATGGTTTGAAGAAACAGGTGTGTCAACATCGCATCTCCACCGGGATGTTGTACTTTCAGCCATGGCCCGAAGCATGTATCCTCAAACATTTTTCTTTGTGCAGGTGAAAGCTTCGACGCAATTGTTTTGGCCAGGCTGACTTTATTTCTTAAGGTAAATTGAGCCGAATAAAAGTTCTACAAAAACAATAAACATACTAAGTTAGATATACAAAAAACTACACTGTGAAGATATACCAAAAACAATAATAAACATAAAGAGTAGTAGTTTATTCTTCAAACTTAAATTTGCAACACTGTGAATTTCGTATTTGTCTTTGTTTTTTGGTTGAAGTAATACAATTCATTCAAGTTTCAATTTGCAGAAGAAGAATAGTTTCTGAAAATGAAAATCGCAACATGAAAATGACTATCGCAGCGTGAATTTGACTATCGCAACGCGAAACTAAAATCGCGTTGCGATTTGCATTTCGCGTTGCGATTCTCGGTTGATTTAATAAGCAATCTAAGTGAAATGGTTAATCTATTATTGAAATTACCAGTAAACTTATCATCAATTTCAATATGAAAAACCTAATAATAATGCAAAAATTTCAAAAAGAAAATAATTAAAAAAACTAACCCTCGTTGGTTGATTTGGTTGATTTTCCATTTCTGATTGTGAGGGTGGCTCTGAGAGATGGAGATAGACGGATTTCGCCGGAGATGGGGACGGATTTCGTCGGAGATGGGTGAGAGAGTGAGAGATGGAGATGGGACTGAGTTGTGATTTTAGGTTTTAGGTTATGAGTTGCGATTACGGGATATACTGTGGACGGTTCAGTGTTCCAATATATTAATATTCGTGTTTGGAATTTAAAAATAAAATACTTGGTCATGATACTAATGGCGCTTTGAAAATCGCATTGCGATTATGTATTATCGCGTTGCGAAAGTCAGTATCTCGTTGCGATTTTGTATTATCGCATTGCGATAGTAAGTATCGCAATGTGATAGTCAGTATCGCATTGCGATTTTCCCAATTCACGTTGCGATTTACTTATTCGCATTGCGAATTGGGAAAATCGCAACGATACTGTAGACCATCGCAACGCGATTTTCAGCTATCGCAACGCGAAATGCAACGCGAATTTGCGATAATGGAGATCGCGTTACGAATTAGCGATCGCATTGCGATTTTGTTGGTCATTTTGGCAAATCCAGAAAAAGTTAGTTAAAATCGTATATTATATGGGAATTTTGGTCACTGAAACGATTTTCTCTTTTATAATTTGCAGATCATTATCTTCTTTTTGATTTTCCCGGCCAGGTTGAGCTATTTTTCCTTCATTCCAGTGCCAAGAATGTTGTTTCAAGATAAAGAGAGCGTTGGGAATCTTGTAAAGCTTATTGACAAAAGAAATAAGCAACAGATACATGCTTGCTGGTATAGATGCCAGCGCAGTCGAATTCAGCAAGATTGCAGTTCGACAAGTTGATTGAGATTATTACAGATCCTTTTTATCTCTATGCATGCAACAATCTACTTATAAATATAAATGTGTTTTGTCATACAATTAAATATTAATATATAAACATTTATATAAAAATATCTTTAAATATGCATGGATATATAAACGCAAATAAAAAGGATGGGGGAAAATCGATTATTACGAAGGTTGTGTGGTAGTTTTCATAAAAATGTTTCCTAGGAAACTCCGAGCCTTTGACTATTCTTCCATTCCCTTCTTGTTTTGGGTTAACGAGTATCTTTCTAGCACGCATATCCGCTAATACTACATTCTTCTTCTTCTTCTTTTCTACAAAACATAAGATTTATTTATTTAAATTTTGTCATGAATTTGCTGAAATTATGTATCTCAGCCTTTCCAACTCATCATCGTTGAATGTTAAAAAATTACACATCTATACATAGATACAAACGTTGGTATAATTAGGGGTGTTTAAATCCGAGTATCATCATTTTTTTTGTACCCGGAACTTCGGGTCACAAAAGTTTGGCCCGTGGCCCGGCTCGTAAGAGGCAAGTACCCGTAAGTCGGGTACCCGTAAAACTCGGATACCCACATTTTCGGGTCAAGGATACCTAATTAATATTCATTTTATTTTATTTTTTTAATTTATATTAATTTTTAAAAAAATCACATAAAAACATAATTTAAAACTTAAAAATTTATAAATAATTAAATGTTAAGGTGAAATAATTTGAAAAAAATAGAGATTTAGAATGTTAGGGTGAAATAATTTTGAAATTAGAAATGAAAAATCTGATTTAAAATAAAAATAACAATAAAATAAAAAAGGGAAACCGGGTAGGCGGGTACCCGATTAAAGACAATTTTGTGACCCGGGCCCGACCCAAAAAGCAGCCAAAAATAACGGGCCGGGTCCCGACCCCAAAAAATCGAGTATTTACCTTCAAAATACAATGTAATTTTACACAGGGTCGGCGAGTCAGGTAATTCGTGTCGGGTACTTTTGAACATCCCTAGATATAATAATAATAATAATAATAATAATAATAATAATAATAATAATAATAATAATAATAATAATAATAATAATAATAATAATTCAATGTAATTCAGTTTTATGGTGATGTCTTTTTAGTTGATAATTATTGTTATGATTTGTAATAATAATCCACTACCATTGTATCATTGTTTTGATGATAAGTGAATCATGATAAACATTAATCCAAGATGGACCGTTTCTAGGCTTGTTCTTCAACCAATTGTCCTTAAATTTATCCACCTTCAACAAGTCAAACTAGACCGAAATCCATAAGGAAACTTCTATTACTTGGAAGAATTTTTTGTTTAATTTCTCAAACCATTCAATTTGAATACGTTTGGATCTATTCTTTTCTCAACCCTTCCTTTATGTCATTTGCCTCTCCTTTTCAATTTTCTCTGCTTCCATTTAAAGAAGAAAAAAAAACTCACTTTCAGATGTTTCAGCCCTTCTTCTGCGGCGCTTTCGATCATGAAGACAAAGATGATCGAAAGAAACCGAGAAGAAACAGCTTCTTTAAGAGTAAAGGCCGTAAGAAAGACGACAGGAATCCGTATGCCGATCTTGGCCTCGACAAATTTTCCGCACTTTTAGCCGAACTCGAAGAGAAGAAGCAAAAGATTTACTCACAAACAGGCTCACAAGACATATCATTGGTTCGTTTCAGGTTTAAAAACTCGACGGATATCGTACCGATCGTGGTGAAGATCAAAGACAAGAAAGAAGAAGCAAAAAATAAGATTGTTGATTGTAACACAACCCGAGATCATTCAGAGATCTTCGATAAACACCCGGTCCAAGACTCAGTCGAAGGGAAACAAGTAATCAAGAAGATACCATCGGGATTGCAATCATTTATTGACCAGAAGAGGAAAAAGAAGAGCTTCTCGTGGAATTTGGAGCTGCATCAACGGAGGCGGCCTTCTTACTATGTACCAGCAATCCTAGTTTTGATTTTGTTGCTGCTGGTGTTCTTCGGAAGATCGGTTTCGATACTGTTTACATGTATTGCATGGTATACGGCTCCTTCAATACAAGGAGTTACAGTAAGAAGAAAGTTTATGTGAGAAGGTTGAGTCACAACAAATGATCACCATTCGGGAAATTTTATCAACAATATCATTTCATCGTCCTTTTTTCTGGAATTGATCTTTTTTTCATGTAAATTGTTTTCATTTTCTTCCATTGTCTTGGGGTTGGATTGAAAAATTCGTTGTAAATTCTTGTACATAAGAGCTGGTTTACTCGAGACGATGAAGTTTAGGTTGCTTTCTATGGCATTTTATTATTCAAGTAATTTTGATCATGAGCATTCCAAATGTTTGTTTTTCAATAATTTTATTCGAGCCGGTCCGACTACGGGCTAAACTCGAGCTCAAGTCCGGCCAAGTTTGCTTAGTCCATGAATATGTCTAGTTGAATTATTGTATCATTCTATTGGTTAAAAGGTTTAGGGTTTAGACACAGATTAGAAGGAATTCGTTTTTAAGACAATGATTTATTACATTTGTTCCAACACTCATAAATTAAATTAATTTAAAATTTTATCATTTAACTCAACTGAATCAATATTCATCCATAACTTCAACCTCTACATTGACTCATTAAAAATTAATTTTTTTTCAAGAACTTTGATAGGTACATGCATGGTTGTTGGTCCAACGTTAGAAGCCCATCAAATGAAGAATGTTGCTCACTTCCTTTAGATAGTCTTTTTTTAACTCTTCAATTCATACAATTATCGGTTTCTTTGTATATACAGTTGCAATTACAACCCATTAATATATGAATAAAATCATAAATAAACAACTAAATTATAAAGAAACATTCAAATCATAAATAAACAGACTAATTAACAACTTAATTATATCCAAACTCATCAATGCATGACTTTAACGTATTTTCTTATTTGAAATACCGTGTTTGGGTATATCAGCTGTGTTTTGACTGCTGTGTTTGGGTATATCTTTCAACCTCTCAGCTGTGTATTGACTGCTGCCATGAACTATATACATAGGCAATGATCCACAATTCTTGCGTTCTGTTAAAAACTATTCATTATCGAGTCAAGTTCGAGCTATCGAATGTGTTGGATTTACCTGGCATATCTCACGCCTTTATAATATTTTTACACACATTTCTTTCTGCATAAATGTTCTTACCATTGACCTCATTATATGAATCTGCAATTGTAGTTCATCAGTCTCGTGCCTAAACCCTCTTTCTTTCAAATCAAAATTAGCTATGACAGACAAATGAAGAAAAAGGAGAAGCTAAGGGATTTTAAACTGTTCAGATCTCTATAATAAGACAGTTCAATCTAAAAGTTAGAATTGGACCTTGATCAGTAAGCAGCTGCACCATCAACCACCGATTCGGTTCAGAACAGTCCGTCATACGACAACGGAATTCCAGTTAACGTCAAATTTGAAATAAGAATAGAAGATTGAAACTCGGTATCAAAATAACATACATGGAAAGATACTTGAACCTTCTGAAAAGTAGGCATATGATACATCAGTCTTTCACAACTCTGTTTTCAATGGTTTTTTGGCACATTATGGTGCCCTGAAAATCTAGGAATGTATACTGCAGATATTTTGATCTTTCCTCACCAGTCATCCGAGAAAACCCAAAGTTTGTAATCCACATGTCCATCACACCAGCCACTGCAGGTAAAACTAGCCTCTGCACCCCCAATTTCTCTAGATTCTTTTCAAGTTCGTCGATCAAAACTCGACACATACTGCGGTGTCGGTGGCTGAACCTGGTGGCAACAAGGGGCATTTCGGCCACCGTTTCGCCATAGACCCTCACGGTAGCCACCGAAACCATTTCATCATTTTCCTCCATAATCACAATATAGAATCCATTGAAATTCAATCGTTTCAGCTTTGATCCTTTGCTGAAAATCACATCTTGAACTATCTCTCTCCCGGTGTAAACATCGCTACTAGGCTCGAAACACTCATGCATCACATCAAGTGCAACATTCAACTTACTGTGAATCTCTCCAGAAGAATCCAGGCCATAACCATGATCGGTATAGCGATTGGAGCAGGCATCGGTCTTCAATAATGTCCAATTCAGATTGTTCCCCAACAGAATTGGCTTTCCCATAAGTTTTGCAGGACAGAAAAGATAATTTCACAGCTATGGCTGCAGAACCAATTGTTCTTCTCAGTCTGATAACCACTTGATTTGTTTGATTCCTTCTGCCTCAAGCATCCAACATGAAATTGACGCTCACATTGTTGACAAGCATGAAAACTATCGTCATTGCTTAAAGATCCAATACAACAAATGCTACAACAGCAGGAAGGGTAAAACCAGTCGCCATCTGGAACTTCCTTGAGACCTAAGCAATTCGCATGGAAAGCAGAAGGGCAACGATCACAGCAAATCAACTTTCCCCAATCACAACAAACAGAGCAAACATCGTCCTGTTATGAGGATTTGAATCGTCCTTCATCTCGTTTGTAGGGCTCTCTACCTTGGAACTCTCCATTGAATCACGAACTTGCCTTTGACAATAGGAAAGGGACCTGCCGCTGCCATCGTCCAAGAAGATATTAGCTGCTGGCCCATGGTTGCTACTACCAGCATGAGCCTCAAAGGCAGTTAGAGAAAAAAGCTTTCAAGCAACAGTCACAATGAATACCAGAACGAGTTATCCTTCCTTTCTTCAATGGCATCCCTGCTTTATTGCGGTAATACACTTTTCCCAGATTTGAAACCACTTTGTTATCTATCAACCAAGAGAGAATGGTTTTAGGATTACCTTGAGAGGAATTATGTACCGGACCCTCTCGTACTCGATTGTTTGATCAACCGAGGCTTGATTTGATTTTCTTGTTTTTTCAACTTCTTTTCTCTTTTTGATGGTTGGGGAAGAAAAGATCCATCAAAAGCTTGATTTTCTAGAAATAAAGTTTTCTTTTCCAATTGTTGCTTGGTATCCAAGTTTCCAGGCGCAAAGCGTATATCTTCTCCTCCTGTCCCTGATATTTTTTCGATACAACGTTTATTCTCTTATTTTTTCAACTATGTTTCTCTTTGTTGTGGTTGGGGCCGAATAGATTCAGCAAAAGCTTGATTTTCCAGAAACAAACTTTCTTTTTAATGGTTGCTTGGGCTGCAAGTTCCCATCGGCCACCCCTTTTTTTTCTTTCCCGGCCACTGATATCGTGTCGATATAGCCCTTGCAAGCCGCTTTGAGTGTATAATAAACTTTTCCTTCCAGCGATTGATACCGGAGTTCATGTCTTCCGTTCTTCGGAGCATGCCAGAAATTCCATCCCATGGCAGAAAGATGTTTTTTGGCTTTTGATGAAAGTTCACTTCTCTTGCCAGGTTTTCCTGTACATGCGTCGTTGTACCACCTGAACACGGATTCTTCACATACTTCACCTTTTATCAAAAACTCCACTCGTTTATCAGCCATGGATGACTCACTTCAAAGTGAAAAGGATACACAGTGATTGTGGGTGGTGAGAGAGAAGATGAAGAGAACTTAGGTCATTTTAAATGTGTGATCAGTCTAGATTAATATTATTTTAAAAGATTCTTAGGGTTCATCTTATAACTATGCTTTTCAAAGTCCATTAAAATGTATATTTATTTGAAGATAACTACTATATGGAAAGAGTTTAATTTTAAATTGAATTATTTTACTTTTTAAATTTTATATATTTCATTAATCTTGAAACGAAAAAAATCTCCACCAAAAAATAAATAAATATTTATTGATAAAAAATCAAAATAGTTTATTATATTTCCGTTTTTTATTTATAATTTCTGTTCAATATTAGTTACTTTTTTATTAATCAACGACGTTATTTATAAAATTCATTGAAAAATAATCATTTTTTAATTGACCAATAAATCAGGATTAAGCGCTACAAAAAATTATTATGAAAGCGACCCTCCCAATTTAATTTATTTCATTCATAATATTAAATTTTAAAAATTTTAATCTTATTAAAAATCTAATATCTCGTTCAAATAGACCAAATTGTTCAATAAAATTAAACATTTCTTTTATTTTTTATATTTATAATATATAGGGTAAACTATACTATTGACCGCTTAAATACCTTTTCATTTTGACTACTATTTTTGAAATTTTGTCAATAAGGTATTCCAATTATTTAAATGCATTCAATCAAGTCACTTTTCGTTAACAGTTAACGGAAGTACTGACGTGACAGTTAATAAAATTAGTATAATTACACATTTGGTTATCAATGTTTATACATTATATCAGTTTAGCCCTAATTTAATTTAATACAATATATTTAATCCTCTAATCATATGATGACTAGGAATGGGCATGAGACTCAAATCCGACGAGTTTCAACCCGATCCGACCTAATCGAATTGAATTTTTTTTAAATTCAGGTTCGGATCGGGTTCTGGTTTAGAGTGAAAAATACCCGACCCGACCAAAGAAAAACATATAATTTTACCTTTATATTTAGGGATAATTGCAATAATGTCACTCCATATATTATTTCTCAATTAAATCCCTATTTTATTGAATAAAAATAATATTTTTTAATAAATATATTATTTCAGGTCGGATTCAGATTTTATTTCAAAAAGTCAGGTCAGGTTCGGGTCAGATGGAGTGTGTATATCTTTTGGGTCGAGTTGGGTTTAGGTAGAGGATGTATAATTTTTGGGTCGGGTCAGGTTGACTGAAAATTTAACCCAACCCATGCCTATCCCTAATAATGATACAAGTCATAATTTGATTCGAGAGTTTTTGTTATAATTTTAATTTTTAATATAATATTTTTTCTTCCAACCAGATGGTGACACATGTTGTCATATGATTAGAGGATTAAATTTTTTAAATTAAATTGGGACTAGATTGATAGAATGTATAAATATGATAACCAAATGTGTAATTATATCATTTTATTAACTGTCACGTCAGTACTTCCGTTAACTGTTAACGGGAAATGACTTGATTGAATGTGTTTAAATAATTGGATGGCTTGATTGATAAAATTTTAAAAATTGTGATCAAAATAAAAAAAAACAATAATTAAGTGATCAATGA